TACTGTTGCTTCTTGTCACAGTCTAGTGTTTAAATATGAATTTTGCTGATTGCTTGTTTGCTGTTCAACTCGGTTTGACCCTTTTGAAAAGACAATGAGTCAGCATGTCGGTTAAACGGCAGCACACATCTCACTGTTATGAAAAACAGATGTATTTGTGACAAAGTGCAAACTACCAAAAATGAAATTACTCATTTCTTTTTTCTATTTTTTTAAATAAATAATAGGGTACTGTTGCTTCTTGTTGCCAACTAGGGTTTAAATATGAGATTTGCTGTTTGCTTGTATCTGGGCTTGGCTGTTCTGCTCAATTTGACCCTTTTCAAAAGAAAATGACTCAGCATTTTGGTTACTTTAATGATAAAAAAAGGCAGGACACATCTATTCACCATCATGAAAAATACATGTCTTTGCGACATAGTTTAAGCTAAATGAAATTACTCATTCCTTTTTTCTTTTAAATAAGTAATACTGCTTTTGAAATAAGTAATACTTTTGCCTCTTGTCGCAATCTAGTGTTTAAATATGAATTTTGCCATTTGCTTGTATGTGCGCTTGGCTGTTATGTTCAGTTTTACCCTTTTAAAAAGAAAATGACTCAGCGATTCAGTTACTTATGTAACTAAGAAAAAATGGCAGCACACAAATATCTACATTGTCGTGGAAAACAGTATAAACTCCCAAAACTGAAATTACTTATTTCATTTTGTTGTCTAAATACATGGAAGAAAATACATGAGAAAATGGCTGTGCTTAAGTTGTGAAAGTTAGATAGACTAATACTTTTATGAAAGACTGGAGATGTCCACTGCTAATGTAAAGACTTTGGCTTGTGTTTTGAAAGATTTTTTTTTCCCTAAGAGGAACAGGAAGTAGTAAATGCTAAACTCCATAATATATAAATAACCAAAATATCCAAAAATAACCAAATTTCAAGAATCCCAGTTTTCAAATGAGGGTTGTATGAACTCTTTGTTCTTACCGTCTCAAATCCTCTGTGAGGATGGTCTGGAAAACCTGCCGGCTTGGCCACTTTAAACTCATCCAGCAACAGGAAAGGATCCAAGTTTCTTAGCTTCAAGTAAAATATATAGGAAATATTCATAAGTGTTACTCTTGAAGTGTAACCAAACACTGACAACTGATTGATTTTGCTTGAACTTACTTCCTTCCTACCAATGCTCCTTCGGACCAGAGCGCCGACTCCCTCTGCTTGTTCCACACTGAGAACGGTCTTCAGCAGCTTCCTCACAATCATCTTCTTTGTGCAGAATTTCACGAGACACTGCAAAACATACAGTACCCTTTTGACTTTTTGAAAGCAGAAATGACAACCATTTGTAACTGTGCCGTAACTTTAGTCTATGGTTCTCAAACTGTAACACAAGTACCACATGATGCACTTGAATCAACTAATCAAAAGGCACATAAAGGACATCAATTGTGAAAAACTTATATAAGGAAAAGTCCAGTGCTGAGAGAAACGTAAAACTATTTTTCAGGATTTATACATGGTAATATGTCTGCTGATGTCGGTTGCATAGTACTTTTTATTTGCTGCAGTTATAGACATACATATTGGATTTTCAGATTACTGATTATTAGAACCCTCAGGCTTTCCTGCCTGGAATTCTGACTTTACCATTCTGTTTGTATTTTGTTGCTAGTCTCTTGTTTTCCGCTTGTTTTCTTTTTTTTACAGTACAAAACTTAAAAGTTTTAGATAATAAATTGAAATGGAACATTTACATTATTTCCAAAGACGAATGTTTGCTTTTTATCGGTCCTTCTTTGCTTGTCATCCGTCCTTAGTAACAATCACAACTGAAAAAGTCGAAATGCTGTTGCACAAAATGTGCAAAGAAAAAGGCAGAGAAAAGGCAAAACGTATGCTTCAATACGGATTCTACAGAAATATGGCATGAAGTACGATCAGAAGTTTTCAGATGGACATTTCATAATAAATCGATTTAAAATAAAATGTTTAATTCAACCCAAGATTGTCCCAAATGCTGGCATAGCATGCAGTCATTGAGAAATAGTGGATACACCAGTGTTACGGCAGTGCCTGTATTTTCGATGGATCAGCTGATCATATCAACTGGTGATGAGCTGCTTTAGTTTCTAAAAGACAAAACAGCTTGTAGTAATTTCACAGCAAAGACGCATAAATTGTCACATTATCTCTATTGGACGTCCACCCTTTTCGGCGTCACTTCCCCATTTGCGGCTAAGTTACGCTGCGTAACAATAAAGGTTTGCTGTAACTGCAGCTGTTTTATGGACACGTAGTTTAACACCTACTGCCACTAATATCTCGTTAAGACTTGCCAGACACATTGTGCTCAATAAAGCAGCAATGCAAAGTTTGAACGGTTCCAGCTTTCCGTGGTTTAAAATTTCCACCGTCAGCAGCAAAAACTGAACCGAGCCATCTGTTTTCATTGTGAATCCGCTCACCTGCCTGTATACAAAACCTCACCGCTTTCGTCGGCTTGTAGTGCTTAGAAATCAAATAATTTCAATTTATTTAACATCCCAAGATTAGAAGGCGGAAGTGAGGAAAGGGGGCGGAGCTTAAGACATGACGGTCAAGGTAAAAGAGGAAAACAAGATTTAGCAAAAGTTGAAAAAAGGCATTTTTTAATTTGAAATACATTTAAATAGTTGATTTTATTTTATTTGTAAATATTTTTTTTTTTTTTTACAAAAAATGATTATTATTAATATAAAAAAAATTAACCAAAGTGTGTGGAGTTGGATAAAATCACTTATTTGTTCTGTTGGTCTGTTTTTTCCAACAAGGGGAAGCAACGCAATACCAAACGAAACCCCCCCCCGCCCAACAAAGAAACAAAACTGAAATCAGAACAATCACAAGAAAATCAAAATAATACATACATTTCACAAAAATATAATAAATACATATTTTAAAAATAACATATTTGAAAACATTTAAAGGTGAAGTTCATACCATATCCAAAAGGGTCTTCTGATTTTTTTCTTTTTTCTTTATATTTCAATCCACAAGCCTTCTTCTGCACAGGAGAAAAGTTCAGATTACATAATTTACACATTAAGCAATCCACAGTAAGCCCAACAGAATAAACCTTCATAGAGGCAAATAAGGTGGTGAACAAAGCTTGGTGGTTTACTGTCAGACCTCTTATTTTATTATGTGACAGAATACCATTTGACCAGTATTTTATGCATATTAGTCTCATAACCAGTTGCATCTGAAGGGTTTAGTTAACATTAAAGCCAGAAAAGTCCTTTCATCTGCTGGATATATTCTTCAGTTTTGGATTTCCCTTTCCCCATTTCAGAATCCTGTCCTCTGTCCTGCATCTGATGGTGCATGATGTCCTTGGCAATTCTCATGCTGGCAGCCTGTCCACCAGCTAGATTTACAGCATGAGGACCAACCTGTGAAGGAATATATAAGACTGAAGGACTCAGAACTACAGCTTGTTTCAGAAACCAAGATTTGCTTAGTAAAATGCAACAAAAATGTTTGCCTACCTGAAGAGCAGAGTACTGTCCCATCAGATAGAGTGGGCATCCTTCTGTCCATTGTAAGCTTTCCAATATACAAGGCCACCCATCAATCACCTTTAAAGTGGAAATCCCAGATGCATGTCAATAAACCAAAAGGTTTGTCCAACTGAGACTAAATTCCAAAATTATAACACAAGAGTTAGTTTGGAAACCTAGCCCACCTGGATTGGGAAATGCTTCATCACGTCAGAAAGCAGTGGATCCTGTTTGACGTCAAGTTTGCAGCCGGTGGCGAGCCAGATCCTGTCCCCTGTCCAGTGGTCTCCGGTGCTGAGAGACAGATTCCAGGATTGAGACCTGTAGCACCAGCTGGCCTCGTTCACCTGCACAGTGACCCAATTCAAGTTAACCTTAATTCATGAATAAACCTATTGAGTTCAACTGGCAAAGTCAGCTCATTGCTCATCTTGTTATAATGTAGTGTTCATCCAAGCATTCGTTTATCAGCCACATGAACATTTTTCAGAACCAAACCAATAGCACTCTGCAGGAAAACAGTGAGCTCCGCAACATTTGCTTTAGAATGACTTAAAGAGCAAAGAATAAAAGAAATACAGCATGTATGACAGGAAAGTATGCCTTATCATCTATTTTTTGCCAATGTTTGCGTAACGTTTGCGTAACGTGAACGTTAACCAAATTTGTTCAGTGAGTATGATCAGAAAAAGCTGTGATGCACATTTTCTGATTTTACAGAGTCAGTTTTATTCAAAGTTGTCACAGATATGTATTTACAGGTTGCATTACCTGGCAGAAAGTCTTCAACTCCACCTGTCCGCTCTGTATAAATGGCTGCAGGTGGATGTATGCCTCTGGGGTGATGGCGCCCCCTTTTCTCGCCTGCCGAATCATAGCCAGACGTTTGTGAAGGCTGCGTTCATTGTAGAACTGCCTCAGGTAGGCCTGGCCATCCATCTTGATGCCGTGCTCCACGTGGGAGTAACGGCCTACCAGGCTCTCCACGTCGCCAACATCAAACTGTTTCAGCTACGGAAGAAAGGTTGAACACGGCTACGTTTGGAGATCAAATGTGCCATCATCACAGTGTTGCTTTTATTGGTTGATCCACATGCTGTTTCACGCAGCCACTAGACCTGCAGGTGTTTTCTCAGGACCCATGTGACGTGGTCGGCCCCTTGCTGCAGGGCAATTGATACGACATGAGCGCTGGTCAGACCTCCACCAACTACCATTACTCTCTGTCCTGTCTCACATACTACATGTAATGGACACACATAGTCATAGAAATCTTGTGAAGGAACTCCATAGATCAGTATCAGTGTCAACCTTTAGAATAAATCTAAAGGTTTCATGTAAAAGCAAAGCTTAACATTAGGCTTGAAATAATGTTTTTAAAAAGAAAGATTGAGAGAGTAAAAGTTGTAACCTCCTTGAAGTTCGTTCTATTCAAAGGAGAACTCTTTCTTACCTTGACCCGAAGAAGTCTCCTCCTGTCCTTGACAATCCATTTCTTGGAGCCTTTGCTTAGAGTTTGACAGCTTGTGCATGAGATGAACTGTGTGTTGCAGTCGCCCCTCTGGGAAACTTTCCTCAATGCTTTTTGCCCATTCGGGAACGTTTGACATTTGAACACGGGTTGGACCTGTTGCCAAAACAACCTGCCGGGCTTTTAAGACCCTGCCGTCTTGAAGTTCAACGCAAAAATGTTCAACCTTCTTTCCTGGGTCAACTTCCGCCTGTTCAGTCTCTCTTTGGGCTTCCTGTTCTTCACCCATTCCTTTTGTGTCCCCAGTCACTGGGATGATGCGTTCGACTGTTCCCTTCAGCAGAATTTTGTCTAATTTGTATCTCTTTACCTGCATGTTAGCAAAAAAATAAATAAAAAATTATCTGTGTGTCTTGAAATCCTTCAACACGCAGAATCTTGATGACTCAAGTTCAGAGGATAAAATAATCATTTTATAAAATAATACCTTGCAATGTTGTACCTCAAAACAAACAGTATTGCAACATTTTATGAAGTGAAGCTACTTCACAGAGACAGAAGTGACTTTAAGAGGCATCTTTATTTGGAAAATATTTTTCTGACCTGTTCTTTAAAAAAATCCACACTCAGTTTGGTTCCCGGCAGGCTGAAGGACAAACTCTTCTTCAGCGTTGACGTGACGTTCAGACGTCTCCTCTCCCTCTTGCCAAGCCGCATGTCGTTGAAGAACGCGTTTTCATCCAGAATGTGAACACGGTCCGGAAGGCTGTGAAGCTCTGCTGAACGATCATACATGAGAACAAACTCCTGAAGCGCATTCTGTCACATAAAAAAAAACAAAAAAAAAACATTCAGGCTGTATTTGTATTCCTCATTTCCACTTCAGGGGAAGTTATGTAAATACCTTATTTATAGGGTCTGTGTGCACCAGTGTGTGAGAGCGCAGATGAGGGATGTGCAGGGCTGTAAACTGACTCTCCCACAGACCGGCCCACTCTCCATAGGTGTCCACCACCAGGACACTGAGTGGGGGGCAAACATTGCTTTCTGATGTTGTTGACTTTTTTTCCTGCTGTTCAGTCATCTGTCCTGCAGGGACAAACCAATGTTTGTTTTATTTTTGTACAACCCCTTCAAGTAAAAAAAAAAAAAAAAAAAATGTCAGCAACATTTTCAATACAGCATATATCACAACTCATGATATATTCATATTCAAATTCAATTCATCCAGTTATTTGAAGCATCCATATCATGCAAACGTAGTCATTTGTTTGAAAATACCAACTTGAAAATTTTTTTTCAGAGATTTATTTTTTCCTATCATAGCAAATGAATTTTACTTTGTGCTATAATTAAAAAAAAAAAAAATCAATCTCGATATGGGGGACAACAAGTAAATGTTTGAGAAAACAACTTTTTTTTTAATCATAAAAAATTATTCCATCGAAATGTTTTATTTGTCAGGGACAAGCATTGTCATCCATGCATTGCCCATGTGCTGTAATGAAAGAAAATTAGCAACAAGGTACATAATAACCCCTGGTTAAATGTTAAAAACCACGGTAACACTTTATTTGAAGGGGGGTGAATAAGGCTGACATGACACTGTCATAAACATGACATAACACATGTCATGATCATCAATAAGCCTTCATGAATATTTATGACTGTTGTCATAAAGCGTCATTTGGTAAATTATGACACTTTTAATACAAAGTTGACATTATTCAAAATGTCTTTGTTATGACAACTTGACATTAACCAAGAAATCATTACTGATATAAATTTGTTCTAAAAGTATTACTGATTGCACTTTAAAAATGAGGTAACTTTATGTTATTAAAGGTAAAGTTTAAACAGTAATGATTTCTTGGTTAAATTAAATTAGAAAATACAAGGATAACCTGCACTTTTCTTCTTGGTTTCTGAGCAACATGGTCTCAAAACGACAACATCAGTAAATGTTGCGATGAGCTATGACCACGCTGGCGACTCAGAACCTGTTATTATGCTGCACGTTCAGCAGAGATATAAAAGTACTGTCAGAATCTGTTGAGTTTTACAAAAGGGGACCTGAAGAGTGAACATCTGGTAATTTATGGAACTCAGGGAGAAGAGAATATGTACTAATACAAATAATATATTAATATTCTTTTATCATTTACTATACAGGTCTATGATGTGGAGCCACAGAGCCTGTATGACTTTTGACACAAACCTTCTTTATTTTTGAAAGTTTAGCTTTTGCCCAGAGATTAAGGTGATCCAGGGGATCATAGAAAATACTCATGTGAAATGGACTTTGTGGTGGCTTTGCACATTTGCATGTTGAACTTTTAGAGTTATGTCTTGGTTAAAGTTCTGTTGGTTTTAGTTTTCATTTACCTCTTTTCTTTGACCAGTTCCTGTTATAATTTTGTAATCTGGTTCCTCTGTACATCCTTTGTGTTCCTCTATTTCCTTATTTGTTTTTCACTCTTGTTTATGAATGTTAATTTTATCTTTTGGTCTGTAGTTTGAATTATACAATGCTGGGTTGTGTTTTTCTGAGAGATTCTGAAATTTCCTGGTTTCTGTGGTATTGTGTGTGCAGCCATTCCTCAGATCAGTTTCCCTCAGTTAGTTTAATCTTTTAGTTTCCCACTCAGCTTCTTCCACTTGGTTAACTTGTCTCTCTCATCCTAATTTGTCTAATTAATGATTCCTTCAGTTTCTCACCACATTAAGTCATTAAAAACTTGTCAGGCAGCAGGTGAGCATTTCTATATAACTCATTAAAAAGCGGCAATTTATTAATTGAAATGAGAAATTCAGCCATTGTGTGGGGGATGTTTGGCATTGCTGTTTTAAGAAAGAGTTCATCTTATTGTGACAGGTGTCTCCTTCCTTTGCATAATTTTCTGGAGAATAAATGTTGATTATTAAAGAAAATCAAAACTTGTTGAAGTTACCAAAACTTGTGATGAGGTTTACGACTCTATTAAAGTTCTAAAACTGTATATTCCTGATTCTTCTTTAATAAATTAAAGCAAACATGTTGTACCTGCTGTCGTCCTCCTCTTTCTTCTTTCATCACAGCGTTTGTGTTTGAATGTCTCAAGGTTTGAGAGAGGGGGGTTGGAAATATGTGAGTCATCTTCACGGTCAGAGTCTTGATCAGGGTCAAGGCTGTTGAGCAAGCTCGCCAAGGTCAAGGCATGGGGGCCACTTCCTATTATTAACACATCGAGCATGTCTATCTGAAACCAAGACAGGAACAGACAACAGGACATGACTCCTTATGCTGCTAGAACCCAGACGAGGGAAAATAGCTGAACATTTAGAGCTAGTTCATCAACCGAGTCATAAAAACTCCCGAAACTGAAGCGCACTCAGTTACTGGTGGTTTATTTTGATTAGCGAGCAAAGTGGTTTAAAATGAGTATATATTTATTTCCAGTAATCTGTCCACTTAATCCCCCCGATCATATTTCAGAAAAAGACAGGGAAAAAAAATCCATTATGCAACAAAACAACACCATCATGCAGAACTTCAGTGCAGTACCTGGCAGACTTGTCACTTTTCACCTGCTTGGAGGAAAATTTTGAGCTTCTTCAAGACAGGCATTATGCAGCGGACGGCGGTAGACTTGACGTTTTGCAACATGTGTCTCTCATGTAATTCAATCCTCTCCCATTTGGACTTCCCTGGCTCAGCGGGGAAATCCCAAATTAACTTCTGTAAATGTGCGCTTGAATAAATTTAGTAACACATGCAAGCGCTTGAGTGTCAACACATCAAAACATTGTAAGAAATACCTGCTGTCTAATTCATCACATTCACATGGAAACATGACTGTTAAAATATTTTACTGATAATAGCTTAAACGACTGACGGCAAAGAAGAAAAAAAAATCCTCGCTAAAGGGCTTCATGCATCCAAGGCCTTAAAGAGTTTTGGTACATAAATATAATGAATGTATCAATCAGTTGCTTTAGTTGATCCGCCTTGAGGCAGAATGCTTCTCTGCATACTGATTTTATTCATGCATCATGTGTGACCATGACTTTATCAATAGCCTTTCACCACCGTACTGAGATGGCATCTATGTAGTGAAACTTTTATCACACTGATTTCATCAGTCATACCTTGCCAACTACTCCCGACCACTTTTGCTTGGCTTGAGCAATAACCGTAGAATAAAATATATAAATAATTATTAAGTTCTCCTTCAGTGACTAAAGTCTAAAGAGGAAGTACAGTAATATTTCCTCAATATTTCCCATGCAATCTGTCACAATACAAGACATGCTCTCGTTTCTTCTTTTCTGTTTTGGTTTCTATAAAGGTGACTTACGGTTACGTTATTCGAGTGCTTGCAAAATAACCGCTCAAAAATAAAGGCTGGCTTCCTTTGAGATGTTCTCTGTTTTATTTGTTATCAGGGCATTCAAGCACAGCGTTGTAGAGGGCGATAAGATCACTTCTTTAGGAACCTCTTCTGCTGGCGGCGGTTGATGAAATAGGTTTTTATTATTACAGTTCAACGCCCTTTCTTCCATGTATTTAATAAGTTCTGTTTTCTTAACCAATTCCACACGATACCCCCTTTTAATAAATGTTTATCAAACTTACTTCCTCTTTACAGATCAGTTCCTCTTTTCCAACTGCTGGGGCTCCCTGTATCTGCTTCCCCTTCTCCTCAGCAGTTCAATAGACAGCAAAGCTTTGACAGTCGGCCGTCGCCACCGGCTTCCTTCAACCTTCCACATCATCAGCCAGAGACTCAGCCTCCAACATGGACATGGATGTAGGTTAACTTAATACAGAGCGCCGTTATGCTGCATTTATTTATTATGAGTTGAAATAATTGAAGATTATTTTTGCTTATGTGTTGCAGGATTCCACTGTTAAGGGGAGTGTGTTGATTCGACACGAACTCCACGAGGGGAAGCACTTCTACGAAGTGGAAGAAGTGGTGAAGTACAAAAACAAAACTGGAAAGAGAATGTTCATAAGGTATGATTTTTAATCTTTTTTTCTCTAAACAGTTTGATTCATGTGAAAACGTCAAACAATCGTCGGCTTGAGACAAGGATTCAGTCATAGTGAAAGTGGGATTAATTTATGGCTCTGCATCAGATTTATGACCGCATGAGGTTTAATATCATAACAAAGATCAATGAATGAGCCAGGATTAGGTTTCAGTTGTGACTATTTTTTTTTTTTTTTGTATTTCATCGTGTTTCACTTATATGGAAAATTAAAATAAAATTTAAAAAATCCATTTAAAAATTAGTCTTTTCAGGCTACATTTAATAAAACATAAATGTATTTAATTCATTAGTCCCATCTACTATTTTGAGTCTCCTTAAACTTATGATTTCTGATTAAACTGAGCCAGTTTATAATGATGATAAGAATTTCTAATAATTCATTTCTTGATGTGGTTTAAGGAAAGCACTTTTATTCATGAATATTTGTTAAAGGTTTTATTGGCTCTAATGGCCTTTATTTGATAGTTAATTGACAGGAAAGACATGCAGCAAAGGTCACCAGGCTGGGAATTGAACCTGCAACAGCTGCATTGAGGACTAAGGCCTCCATACATGGGTTGTGCTTAACCCCTGCACCACCACAGCATGCCTGATTCATGAATATTTTAACTCACTTTAGATAACTGATGGAAATTTAAAAGTTTATCTGCAGCTCACTTTTCTGTTAAAGTGCATTAATAGTGTTGTTTGAAAGATTTTTTTTAAATCAGGGATTTCTTATAAACTTTTTCTACATATTTAATATAATTTCTTGAACTTTTCCTTTTCATTTCCCTACTTTCGCCAGAAGAGGAGACAAGCTGATGGAGATAAATGGGGTTGACCTTCAGGACTTAGAACCTGAGGAGCTGGCCAACATGATCTCTGAAGGAAATCCATTGTTGGTATGTCAATTGGCTCTTTCAAAAAGAAACTGTGCCTTGTAAACCTTAAATGCTTTAGGATTTTTGTAACCTTAGAGCCAGAAGTTTCCATGTATTGAATATGTGGCAAAACTGGACGAAACCACATGCCATATTTTTAGATTTTTGTCAAAACTTTTACAAACCGTGTCTCATTTCCTGCCATGACATAGTTGTGCACTACTTTGCACTGGCTTATTAGAAATGGGCTAAGAAATTGCACAAAAAACAAAATTCTTTCTCTGACTGAGTGGTGTCACAGAGACATGAAGAGCCTTTTTAAATACATTGAACTTCTGTGGCCATTTGCACTGAAAGACATTTTTTGCTTCTTCAGTCAGTGCAGAAGAGAGAAAAAGAGTCTGAACAGGAGGAGCAGCTGCCCCTAGATGAGGACACCTTGCAGCCCTATGACAAGGAGTCCACTGTCCTGAGTTTTTCCTGGGAGTTGAAGAGGGAGGAAGACACAGAAGAAGGAGAGAAAAACGAGCCAACAGATATAGAGGGGAATGTGTGCGAAGATATGTGCAAGGAGAATGGGGAGAGCAGAGACCTCCTTGTAATTCACATGACGAACACCAGCATCGCTGTGGTGGGATCCAGGGGCTGTGAAGAATTTGAGGGGACAGGATGCACCGTCGACGACATCGTGTTGGTGGCAGATTCCAGCGTAGTGACATGTGGTGAGTTCAGAGGTTTTACTTCTCGCTTCGTCTTTGTGTCCAAAGTCACCATATTTAATCCTGATTACAGGAGCCGATATTTAATTTTAAAGTAAAAAATGTATGATGTACACTGAATGATTAAAGTATAGGTGTCAGCAGACAAGTTTAGTCCACGTATGATGTTGAAACAGCATTTGTGTGTGTGTGTGTGTGTGTGTGTGTGTGCGTGTGTGTGCGCATGTGTGTGTGTGTGTGTGTGGGGGTGTGTGTGTGTGTGTGTGTGTGTGTGGGGGGGGGGGGGGGGGGGGGGGGGGGGGGGGGGTGTTTTTTTTTTTTCGGTTTTGTTAG